CTTTCCCTTTTGTCCCCTCCCTGGGTGCCCTGCCATGTTCACTCCCCGAAGATGCCACTGTAGTCACTGCTGAGATTTTCAGTGCTCTCTCCCTGCCGACTCTTGAGAGCCGCCCTGCTCCGTCCCTCGTCTGTCTCCTGCTCACTCTCGGGTACCCAATCAATGCCCGGTGCCGCCGCCAGCCGAGGGAGCCGATCCCCCAAACTGGGTGAGGCCCCTTCAGCTGCACTCACTGCCCGCCGGCCCGGACGCTGGAAGGAATTGTGGAGGAGCCCCAAGGTGTGTGGAAAAATTGACATCCCCAGAGGTTTCTGTCCACAAGGAAGACAGAGGAGTCTTGTAACAGTAATTGTATTCATAAAAAAGGGTGTGCCCATGGGACATTTCCCATGGGGTCTTATTGTAGTAGCTAAAACACTCGCTCGCGGTGAGAGACTTCTCCAGGGTCAAGCTGTTCAAGTATAAGCGATTTATTATAAGAGTAAAAGGAGGGGAGACCCGTGTCCGCCACCAGCCTTGGCGTCCACGTGGTCTGGGGGAGGGGAGAGAGAACAGGTAGAGCAGGGAAGGTGAGGTTGGAAGGGAGAGGGAGGGAGTAAGAGAGCGAGGCTCCTGTTACAATCGATTATATGCTTTCCTATAGTGAATATTCTAATTCTTAGTAACCAATCACCATGAGACACACCCACTAAAGAATTTACATACAGCCTATGAGCTTCCCTATTTTAACATACAGTGTTGCATTTTACACTTCACAGAGCTTTACAAGTTCTATCCTCGTTTCTTTACCTCTGGACTTTCCTATCAACAGGACATTGGTTTGTCAGCAGGGATTCTCCTTCAACTGGCTAGGCTATTTTCCTTTGGTCATATAGTAACTCAGTATCTTATGATTCAAAGCAGGCTTTCATTTCTATCTCAATTCTAGGCCTCATACCTTCAGAATCTTTTGTTAAATAAACACATTCAGGTTTCCCTGCTTCATCCTCCCCAACATCTCCTCTGTCTCGATGAACTAATAAAATGCTAGAAACTGTCTTATTCGTTAATTTTTGCACACACTGAAGTATACAGGGTACTGCTGCTAAAACTACAATTATTACTATTAAAATAATTAAGCCTATTTTACAGAGTTGCTTTAGCCAGGGTGCAAAGCTTAAACCATCAAACAAATTGTCTAGCCAAGATGGGTCATCCGTTGTGATTTGGTTTGCTAGATCTCTTAAATTCTGCAGCTGTTTATGGATAGAAACAGAATGATCAGACAAATTCATACAGCATAGCCCTTCAAAATCTTCACAGCCGTGTCCATGTGCTAATAAAAGATAATCAATGGCGGCTCTATTTTGTAAAGAGGCATGTCTAACTGCTCCTTCATCTGTCAGTAGTTCACTGATCATGGCAGAGGTGGCATTTACTTCTTTGCTGAGCCAGCATCCCAGCTCATTTAGCTGTCTTAAGGCTACTGAGGAAGTTAACTGAGGTAGGAAAATACTTGTAGCAACTGAACGGCCAGAGCTCCAGGGGTGAAAATCACTATCACAATTACTATCATAGTGATGCCCCCAGGAGGATCTTATTTTCCTGTTTTTCTTTTTGATTACCTCTTTGACACTGGGAGCAATTATCGTAAGTTGTCCCATGGCACAAGGGCCACCAGTTATTTTTGAGGGTATACCTTGCCAGGCCCTGTCTCCACAGATGAGCCAAATTCCTTTGGGGAATCGAATAGGAAGTTTGTTAAAACGGTTTGCATGAGGTTCTTCATATGTAAGAAGCTTAGTTTGCTGGCACCATGAGGTCATATTGTTATAAACGGGGTGGTACGGGGTGACATTTAAATTAGGGCTGTTCTTTTCTAGGAGATGGAACAGGTAACAGGTGTTCATAGTTAATGAACCCAGGATTTCTAATTCTTGAAGATCAGATTGATCCACTTTAGAATTATCAATATAATCTTGGTGTCTCGCACTGGGAGTTGGAGAAATGTGGTGATCATCATATGGCCAATACTTTTCAAGAGTAACATTGTCAAAACCCTTAGGGAGAGGTACTCCAACTAGACAGGTTGAAAAGGGTTTGTCAGGGCTTGTGTCTGATAGGCAGATGGTGTCAGAGCCTGCAGACTTGGCTAAGGCAACCCAGACATTTGTCTTAGGTTGATTTACAGGTAAAGCTTCACTACAAAAACTATAGCAAAAGGTTAAAAACAATATGCATTTACACAAATACTGAAGTTTCATTTTCTGAAACAGTCTTAAGCAGATCATCTTCTCCTGGTGATTCTGCGCAGTTCAGGTCTGGGTGCTTGCTTCTTTGCTTTTGTTTGCAGAGTTGTCAGCTGATGCGAGGGTGTCTGTGGGTTTTGATGTGTGGTATGGCTTCACGTTTTTTGCAGGGATCCACTTGAGTCCTCCACCTGTAGAAACACACGCAAACCCTTTCCCCCATGTTACAAGGTTATACGGTCCTTCTATCTGTCCTGACTCCAAATTTTTAATTAAAACTGGGGGGTGATCTTTCAGTTTTGCCTTTTTGTTGTTTAAGAAATGTCTGTAAATGGGGGGGTCTGGCTCTTCTGCAGAGCTATTCAAGAAATTGTAAACATACAAGGCCTTACTCAGCCTCCTTTGAGGTGTAGCCTGGGCTTCTCCCCCTTTCTGATGATCTAAAATACGTTTTAGAGTTTGATGTGTTCTTTCTATCATTCCTTGACTCGTGGGGGAGTAGGGAATGCCAAAGGTGTGACGAACACCCCAGTCATTTAGAAATGCAGCTAATTTTTGTGAAACATATGAAGGACCATTATCTGTCTTAATTTCTCTGGGGACACCTAAATAGGAAAACGCTTGTGAGAAATGTTGGCAAACATCTTTTGTTGTTTCCCCTGTATGTACCGAAGCAAAAATTGCATTTGAAAATGTATCAATGGAGACATGAAGATTTTTAAGTTTTCCAAAAGAGGGGTATTTAGTAACATCAGTTTGCCATTTTTGCAAGCTTTCCAACCCTCGTGGGTTGGTGGCTCCTGTAGAGGGGATTGGTTGAACAAGCTGACAGGCAGGGCAGGCCCGTACAATACTCTTTGCTTGTTCGAGGGTAATGCAAAAGTCTCGTTTGAGTGCTTGCGCATTTTGGTGGAAAAATGCATGACTCAATTTGGCCTGTTCAACAGTGTTAGGCAGTGTAGTTGCAGGAAGCACTAAAGCAGAGCTTTCAATGCTTGCTGCAACTTCTTCTTCAGATGCTGCTGATGCCAGTGCATCAGCTCGTGCATTTCCCTCTGCAATAGATCCTGGGAGACCAGAGTGGGCTCTAAGGTGGGAAACAAAATAAGGATTACTCCTGTGTGACATAATTTGGTAGAGGCAGGTGAGCCAAAGACACAGTTTGTCGTTATTCACATCTTTTAAAACAGATCCCTCAATCCTCTGAATAATATTGGCGACATATGCTGAATCAGTGATTAGGTTGAAGGGTTCTGGGAAGAGCTGAAATGCTCTTACAACTGCTGCCAATTCAACAATTTGGGGAGAGCCTTCAACTTTTTGAACATCTTGTTTCCAGGTTTTAGTTTCTTTACTCTGCCATGTTATGACTGAGTTGTGTGTTTGTCCTGACCCATCAGTGAAGAGAGTAATGGCATCTAAGGGTTCTTCACTGAGCAGGGGTTTTTCTCTGTAGCATAATTTAGCTTTGATTAGTTTGTGCGCTGGATAGTGGATAGAACAGACACCTGGAAAATCTAGTAAAGCATAGAGCAGGTCTTCAGATTTTTGCATTGCCCAATCAAAATAAGTTTTTATCAGGGGTAAATAAATGGTTGTGAACTCACGACCAGATATTGAAAGAAGTCTTGCTCTGCCTTTGATGATAATTTGGGATATCATTTCTAAAGATGTGAATATTGTCTTTGGCGACCTGTAGGGAAGAAAAACCCATTCAATTATTAGCAAAGGATCTTTTTGAGATGGGTCCCACTGAAAAATGAGACCATGCAATCTCAGTTTTTCTCCCAACACTGCAAGGAAAAAGGGTTTATCTGGAACATAGCGGTGCGCTTGTCTGTTTTGCAAAGCATCTGTAATTTTTTCTAGAGCTTTGTAGGCCTCAGGGGTGAGAAATCTAGGGGATTTGATGTCACTGTCTCCCCTTAGCAAGTCAAAGAGTGGGGCTAGTTCATCAGCTGTGATTCCCAACACAGGCCTGACCCAATTAATTTCTCCCAAGAGCTGCTGTAAATCCTGTAAGGTACGAATGTTAGTCCGCAGTTGTATCTTTTGTGGCGTGATGGATTGTTCTGTTAGCTTCCATCCCAAGTACTTCCAAGGAGCAGCTTCTTGTATTTTTGATTCAGAGATTACCAGTCCAGCTTTTTTTATTTCTGTGACTACTCTGTTGCGGGTTTCTTCCATCTGTTTTTGTGTTGGCGCTGCGACGAGGAGATCATCCATGTAATGAAGGATAACTGATTGTGGGAATTGCTTACGAACCGGAGACAACGCACGGGCTACAAAATATTGACAGATAGTAGGTGAATTTCGCATGCCTTGAGGTAGAACAAGCCAATGATACCTCTGGAGGGGTTCTTGTAGGTTTGTACTTGGCACTGAGAAAGCAAAGCGGGGTGCATCATCTGGATGCAGGGGGATGTTGAAGAAGCAGTCTTTTAGGTCAATAATAACAAGTGGCCACTCTCTTGGGATCATGGAGAGGTTAGGCAGTCCAGGTTGGAGTGGTCCCATGCTTTCAATTACTGCATTGATTTTCCTAAGATCTTGTAGCAATCGCCAGGTGTCAGAGGCTTTCTTGTGGATAACAAACACAGGTGAATTCCAGGGACTGTTAGTGGGTTTAATGTGACCTTTTTGTAATTGTTCAGTTACCAGTCTTTTGAGGGCACTCAGCTTATTATCCGGCAAGGGCCACTGGTCGACCCAGACAGGGGTGTCAGTTTTCCAGGTCAGTTTTAAAGTACTGAGTGCTTCAGTGGCCCCTACAAAAAACCCACTTCAATTTTTGCTCCCCACTGTGAAAGTAAATCTCTTCCCCATACTGTGATGGGTTTTTGCACCACATAGGGACGGATCAATCCTTTTTTTCTTTCTGGTCCTGTAATACTGATTACAGACTCACTTTGTAAACACGGAGTGGCACCTCCAATGCCTGTGATAGTACCTGAGGGATTTATCAGCTTCCAATCTGCTGGCCAGTGATCATTAGAGATTATAGAGACATCTGCACCCGTATCAATCATCCCTCTGATATTAACCTGAACCCCACAACTAGACAATTGGCAAGTTATCATAGGCCGGTCACAGCTTATGTGTTGAATCCAACATACCTCAGGATTCTCAGGGGCAGCTGGGAAACAGCGTGGTGGTATCTGATCTATAGTCTCCAGGGGCAGTGCTATAGCAATAGCTATAGGGGTGTTAGGCCGGATGTGTAGTGGGGGGTCATAAGCTTTGGCTAACACCAGTAGTTCTTCTTTGCAGTTGACTGACATTACACAAGGCAGAACGAGCAGTCCCAGGATGCTATTCCTTTCTTTGCCTACCACTAAAAAGTCTTGTCTTTTTTGTGAAGTTCCAGTGGTGCTTGTTGATATATAGTCATAGCCGTTCTCTTTCAAAAAGGTTGTTGGTTTGGAGGCTGCCAGAGTGCACCAAGACCCTGGGGGTAGCAGGTCTGTGTCATTGCTTGGGATTCTGCTGGCGACGAAGCGAAGTGCATCGTTGCTGGGGTATGGACAAATTTTCCCTTGGGTGCTTGGGATGCCACTACTTGTTTCGTCACGCGATGGCATTGCGCGTTCGTTTTCGGGTTTTTTGGAATATGATTTTTAGCATTGTTGTGTTTGGCATACCACTGCGAATTAGGATGTTTGTCCCTGTCATAGGTAGGGTACTGATTTGGTGCTTCTGCAGTCCCTTTAGCTGCTGGGCAGTACCTCATAATGTGCCCAGGTTTTTTGCAAAAATAGCAAGGTCCTGTGGTTACTGCAGTTTGCATAACAGTCATGTTGTTGCTCTGTTGCTGGGAGTTTAGGTGTATAGCAGTTAAGATTTCAGTGAGTTTTTGGTCTCGTGTATCTGCTTGTGCTGTTTGAGCTATAAGAGCTCTTTCAATTTTTTCTCCTAAAGTCTTTCCGAGTTCATTTGCTTGGATCGTTGCCATTTGCTGTGGACTTCCGATTTTGTTACAGGCATTAATCATTTCAGGCACTGTGGGTCTTTCTTTTCCTAGGGCTTTGATGACCCTCTTGCATTCTGCATTAGCATTGTTCTCGATAATGTCACGTACCATTATCGGGCGGGCTATCTCATCACTGCATTGCCTCTCTGCTGCTTGGAGTACTCTGTCAACAAAAGTGGTAAATGGTTCAGACAGCTCTTGGTTAATCAGGTTATATGCTTTTTCAAAAGTTCCTGCAGGTTGAACTTGCAAAAAAGCTCTGCGAGCCATCTTTTTAATGTCATCTAATACTATTCTGGGTAAATTTATTTGATCTTCGTTTCTATCATCAGGGTGATCACCAGTTAATTTAGACATAGTGAGGGCACGAAGATCTGCATCAGTACTTTGCCTGTAAGTTGCTAACACTTCTGTGAGCATTTTTCTCCATTTGAATTCCCACAGCATATATTGTGAGTCTGTTAGAGTTACACTAGCAAGATTTTTACAGTCATTTGGTGTAAGTGTGTATCCTTCTAGAGTACTTTTCAACAGTTGTTTAAAATACGGGGAACAAATGCCACTGTCTCTCACTGCTTTTCTTAGTTCTTTTATATCCTGAGATGGGATGGGGGCCCATGTTTTGGGACCTCCGGGCTGTTGGCTCACTAAAACAGGCATAGCCAAAGGATTAAGACTTTCTTCTCTGCAGATCTGGCGCTTTACTTCATGCCAGTCTGTCAGGTGAGGATTGTTGAAGCTGTTTTGGGTGCTTTGCAGAGGCGGCAGCTGCGACGAAGGGGAGCTGAGCAGGAGTGGGCGGGCCGTCAGGTTAGGCGAGGGGACCTCTGTGTATGGATTCAGCTGCGATGGTGGCTGTTGTTGTTCCATGGTGTCGGGTAGAACTGCTGGTGCGGCAGATGCAGACGGGATCCGTGTGGCAGAGTCGGGTGGAAGCGATGGAGCAGGCTGCAGCGCGAGGAGGGGTTGTGGGAACGGGACAGTGGCCGAGCTGGGCGGTGGCGTAGGCGGCGCGGGTGTCAGCAGCTGTAGAGCCGGGGCTCCGCGTCCGTCCTTGCTTTCCCCCCCCGCGGCTTGTGGGGCTGGCACGGGGCGGTGGCACGGAGGACACGGGGGCGTGGCCGGGACCAACGGCGATAGAAGCGGTGACTGCGCATGCGTGGATGATGTCAGCGTCGCAGAGCAGCATGGGGGAGTGGTGTACGGCAGCGCGAGTTCCGAATCGGGCCGCGCCGCACCGCTCGGGACGGTGTTGCTGGACGGCGGCGGCGGCGGGACTGGCGACTGCACAGCTGCCGGGAAAGCGGAGCCCGCGGGGCACCAAGGCGGCGCGGGCGGCACGGAGGGGGTGTAGGGGAAATGAGCTGCGGGAACCGCGGTGCCGAGGGTG